CAGTTCAGCACATTACAACTTTACAAATCCTGTATACAAAACATATTCTCAGCTATTAAAAAAATAATACTTTTGATAAACCAAAAAACTCAGAGATTCAGTAGTATCTGAACTTACTTCAGGCCCAACTTTAAGTTTAGATCGAGACTGACTACAAATATAACTAGAATTGAAAGGGAAGACAATCCTTGTGGTAGAGTTGAGTCATTTATATGCTTTAAGAACTGTGAGTTTAAACTGAGAAGGAAATTATTAGGTGCTACAAATCTATTCCTAGTCCCATCTATCTTATTCTTAAAACCATCTTACTATCCACCTTCTAAGGAAAATTGTTACTGCTTTAAAGACAGTGTATTTTGTTGCTTTTTAGTTTTACAACCTGCTGGCATAGGTAGTACTGTGGTATTTTACTGTTGAGTCTTAGGTGGTTACATAACTTACCTAAAGCTGTACTACTTGTAACTAGTACAGCACAAACTCAGACTCTGATTACAATGTCTTCCTAGACCCAGCCTCTTAGTTATTACTGTTTCTTTTGCACACTTTATAAATGAGAACCCTAAGGCTCAAAGAGGAAGAGTTACTTATTCAGGTTCACACAGTGAGAAATGGCAGACTGAGCCGTAAACCCAGGTACCCAAAGTACTAGACTGAACCATGTGAAATTGCTGGGAATTGACAGTTTATGACCTACAAAAACAAATTTCATGTCGTTCTGTTTTGTGCATACTCTGTGTACTACATCATACTTCTGATTGAATTTAGAGTCAGACAAAAGGAATTGTACAAAAGGGAATCTGAATGGTTAATGTGTACTTGTTGATGGTGGGTCAGGAATACTTGAGAATTTCAGAACTCACCCAACAAGTAAACACTTTGTATTGAGTACAGTGCAAAGCATTTAGTCCTCAAACATGGGGTCAGAGCTTGTGCCTGAAGAGCCAGCGCAGTAACAGACTGACCGTGAGAAGGTGACCTGAGCTGGGCGCCACAGGGTTGGCAGGAATTAGCAAGGAGAGTGAATGATGATCGTAATACACAGGCCACTGAGATTTTGAAAAGACCAATCTGATAGGGAGTTAAAAACTCCTTTAGTGTAGAAAAACATTTTGGAATTTCTGAAGCAGTTTTATTATATACCCAAGATGAAAATTATATTTCAAGAGTTTTTGTTCAAAATTATTTTATGATTTAATCACAGAAATTAAGCGTAGGTTTTAGCCCTGTGTGGCACTCTGCAGTCACAGTCTTAGTCCAGCTCAGTCCCTCTCCAGGTAAAGAAAGTTAGTGAAATGACCTAAAGCAGAATGCACAGAATCAGTACTTGCCTCTGGACACAGTACTTCCCACTAGGATACGGCCTCTCGCTTTACCTCACAGTCCTGAGTGTGAGCGCTTCTGTGTTTACGTGCTGAAACTGGACATTAAATGTTTTACTTTCTGCAGCACTTCTTTTTGAGTCTCCTTTTTGCTATTGATTATATTAGAAGAAAAAGATGCTTTTTAAATATCCTTTAATAATTTATGAAATATGAATACTTTGATATGAATGTAAACAACTTGTGAGATTTCAAATCTGGTAATACAGTGGAACTCATGAACTCCCTATCCAGTTTAAGCATTGGAACATTGTGGGGCACAGCAGCACCTGCCTCAGAATCCCAGCACTTGGGGTGCTAAGGTTAGTCAGACCAAAAGTTCAAGCCCAGCCTGGGTCCTTCAGTGATTTGATGAGACCTTACATCAGAATAAAGACATTAAAATGGACTGGGATGTAGCTGTTCCTTCCCGGGGGCCTCCCACCAGCTCACTGTGCCTTGCTGTATCATGTGCCATGTCTCCAAACTTTATAAATAACTTTTATCTGCTTAAGAAATTCTTACCTTAAATGAAGCTTAAGTTTGTGATGGATGTTGTTTTGAAAAATGACTTTTATGTATCTGTTGAGTTTTTTTACCTTTAAACTGTTAGTATAATGAACTACATTAATAAAATTCTTCAGTTTGCATTTGTTGGATAAACAACTTTTTAAATGATTTTTATTGCTTATATATTGCCAAATTCTGTTCACCTTTTTTTTGACTTTGCATTGTTTTTTACATGAGGGAGGCTGATATTTTCTTTCTCATACTGTCCTTGTTTATTGACCAGATTTTATTGCCTTCACAGAATGACTCAGGAGGTATTTCCTCTTTTCTCTTTTTTAGACTAATTTAAGACTGGAAATGGCATTTTCTTGAATATTTGATAGCACTTACTTATAAAACCCCTCTGGGCTTGGTGTTTTATCTGATGTACATAAATTTTGGTAATTTATGCATTTTTGAGGATTTATCTATTTCACTTAATTTTTTTTAAATCTGTTAGGCATAATATTTTTTATCATATTAGCTCAACTTAAAAAATACTTTACTGCTTTTCGGGGGCAGGTTTATAACTTGGTTCTTTGTATGCCTGTAGCTTAGAGCCCTTGCTTGCAAGTTGTCAGTGCTTTCTGGTTTTTCAGCATAGTTGTTTAGAATTAAATGTTTTGCTCTAAATGTCTCTTTAGTTGGATCCCACGAATTTTAGCTTGACTTATGTTAAAATTTGAATATTTTCTAATTTTCATTTTGTTTTCTTTGACCAGTGAGTTAGAAGTGTTTTATGCTTTCTAGCCATAGAATTTTTAGTTAATCTTAAAATCAGTGCAAAGGACATCTGCATTATGATTTACAGGATACAGCTTTTGGTTTTTTGGCTTATGGCCTAATCAGTTTTCATAAATATTTCTAAGGATTGAAATGAATGCCCTTTCTCCATTTGCTTGGGTTTTTTGGGTTTTTTCCTTGTGTGGAGTTAGGGTTTTACTGTGTATGTGTTTTGGGTTTTGGCCTGCTTTTATAAATCATTAATAGAAAAATATTCAGATATGTCACTTTGATGATGGCTGTGTCCCTTTCTCCTTGCAGAGTTTCTTTATTTTGGTTTGACTTTTTTGCTTTGCTTACTATAATTGCATACAAGTAGAGCATATAAATTGTGAATTGTCAGTCTGAATTAAAGTGATTTTTAATCTTTCTCTAGAAATTTTTGCCCTAAAAATGTGATATTAATATAGGTATTTAAGTTTATTCTGGATAGTAATTGTTGTTTTTCAATTCTTTAAATTGCTTTTCTTTCTCTAAATTAGATCTGTGTCTTAGAAACAGTATTTAATTCAATCTGATAATTTTTTTACTATTGTAACCAGAATTTAATCCATTTATATTTGTTATTTTGACTATTTTCTCCCTCATACTTTAGCTTTTTCTTATTCTTTTTCTCCTTTGCCATCTTTTGAATTGAATAACTCTGTTTCTATTCTCATTTTTGTTTCTGGTTTCTGAGTTGCACTTTACTACGTTTAGTAAATACCTGTGAAATTTTGTCTGACTGTTGAAATCCTTCCTCCTCCTAAGTAGTGATCACCTTTTAGAATCATTGTTCTTCTTCCTTATGCTGTTGTTACTCAGAATTTCATTACTTGTTTGTTTGCTTGATAATTCTATAAATTAGTCTGTTTCTGTCGCTTAATATTTTCAGTATGTAGACTGAGGCCTTGTTTATTGATGTTCTTCATGGCATCCTGCCCTTCTATCAAAAAGGTTTTTTTTCCTTGCTAAAGTATAGTGCTTAGACGTCGCTGTGGTTCCAGTCTGTGAGGAGCAAACTCAGTTTTACTCATCTGAGAGTGCTGTTTTGACTGCAGTCTTTTGTTGTTGTTGTTGTTGCCTAAATAATTCTAGGTTGGCAGTAAGTTTTATGTCTGCACTTCATAGATTTTACTCTACATTTTGACTGGCTTCTTTTATGGTATGACCAGAGAGAATTTAACTCATGCTCTTTTGTAGATACAAGATAAATACACTTTTCCAAAATGTATGGGACCAGTTATATTTCAGAGCTCAGATTTTGGAATATTTGCATGTGTAATAATGAGGCATCTTGGGGCTACGAACTCAAGTGAAAATTCATTTGTGTTTTACATGTACCATATCATATATATAGGGGGGGAGCTTTAAAGTAAAAGATTTTTACATTATTTTTAGTGTATTTGTGTATTTTGACTGTGACCTAGCTCATGAGGTCAGGTATGGAATTTTCTACTTGTGGTATTAATTATTTCAGCACTCAGGTTTCAGATTTCAGAATGTTGCTCATTTCAAATTTCTAGATCAGTGGTAATCACTCCGTAATCTGTCTTTGTCTGCTTTTTCTTTGTCTGTCTTCTAGAATGTATGTATGCTGAATATGTGAGTTTTCTCTCTTTTTTTTTAACTTGAGATTTGTCTGACTGGGATTGTATCTTCCCTTGATCCTGGAAAATTTTTTACACTTGTTTTTCCCCCCATCCTTTTCTTTCATTAGTATATGTTCATGATATGTGATAAATGCATTCATCATGGAGTATTGGTTCGTATCGTATCTTGATCATTTTTATTTCCCCTCTTCCCTCCAGCCTGTCTTGTTCTAACCCTAGGTCTCTTTCCCGTCTCCACAAAGTCTGTCTCCATTTCCTAAATTGCCTGTTATTTTGCTACTAAATTTTTATAGATACACAGCAGATGCATTTTCACTCTTCCGTTTAGAGCCATGATAAACACAGATTTGCTGCCTTTGTTTTCCTAATTTACTCTTTGCTGGAGAACAAAACTTTCTCTAACTTTTTTAGCTTTAAGTAGAATTTTCTCCCATCACATTCCCGTATCACGAAAGCCCAAGATATACTGTATTACTGTGAATGCAAAGGCTCTAGAATTGTTCTCTTGAAATCCTCAAGACTAGCATTAGCCTCTTCTGCTGTCTTGATGCTCTGATCACAAAAGTATTTTACTTGCTTGCAAGCTCATCAGTTTTGAAAAGTAGCCCTATGTAAATGCATATAAAGTTCTAGATACAGTTGTATAGTGTTTTGTGGGTTTATTTTTTTATGTGTTTAATCAAGAATCATATTTTGTTCCTGTCACTTCTTCCTATAGGTGAGCAGTAGGTCATCCAGTCCTAGTGTCAGAATGATCACTACCTCAGGACCAACCTCAGAAAAACCAGCTCGAAGTCATCCATGGACTCCTGATGATTTCACAGGTGACTGGTCCAGTTCTTCCTTGTAATAAGAAATTGAATTTGTCATGTTTATGTTCATTAATCTTCACAAAGGCAAGCATTACGCAGTAGTTTCTCATTTTTCAAACTAATAAAATTAACTATTCAGTGATAACATGAGTAACATCACATTGTTCTTATTAAAATCTGGCTGTCTAGAGATAGTGATGGAAAATTCCACTGAGGGCATACAGTGAATGATGTGCTGCAGCAGAATGAACTCGTCCCTGTCATTAGGGAGATGCCTTGTAAATACTCAACAACACATTTAATTAGTTTTTATTTATATTTCATTAAATCAGAGAGGACCTTGGAAAATTAAACCATTTGGAATTTCATATAAGATCAGCTCTGTTACTGATATTCACAGTTAGGCTGAAATTTAAAAGTCATCTTTCTGAATTCACAAACTAAAATATGACTCAGTTATTTACAGATATTTGGCATGGTTTAGTCAAGTTTATAATTTAATTTAAAAAATTAACCAGGTGGTTTTTCACTGTGTCATGTCAGTTAGAACTCTGTTTAGCCCGGGGTGTACTCTCTAGTTTTAGTAAGTTTAAATTTAGTGGTGGTAGTTTCATACCTAGCATTATGCAGTGCACATGTAGAATTCATCATAGGCAGGAAGATGGGTAGAGAAAAAGGTACTCTTGTCGGACTTTGTCATTAACATTCAAGTAATGCCAGCTTTTTGGTTCCTCAACCACCAGAGTACTTTACTTGACAGTGCATCATTTGTCTTGGTTCAGTACTCAGTTTGGCAAAACCCTCGAACTGCAGCAGAGATTAATTTAGATACGTGAATCAGCCTTACTGCAGATTGTCAGACCATGGGAGTAAAATCAAAATTGTTGCAACTGTCTCCTGTAACCACTGCTTCCACTTCATGAATGCCTCTATCCCTTCTGGTACCTAAAAATACCACAGAACACCAATAGCTAAAAATCTTATTAGACTCAAGTTGAAATTTCAACTGAGTATTTTTCTTTTCCATCAAATAGATTACAGATGTGTCCCTGCATAGAAAATGTGTTCCTAATAGAATAAATTGTAGTGAATAGATAGGTAAACGCAGTGACACAGGAAAAAATATGAGTGTGAATATAAGTTAAAACAACCTAATTAAGACATTTTTTTTTAAAAAGCAGAAATATTTATTGAGAGAAAGAAAGCTTCTGTCTAAAAGAGAGACAGAAGGGGTCCTAAGTGGGTTGCCTAGTGAAGGCATTTTTTAAAATTTCTATGAGTTTCTGTATATTTTCAGAGAAAATTGAAGAGTGTAACAGTCGTAGATCGTGAGTATAGATATACAGAAAGACAAGTATACCCACAGAATCAAGCAAGAGAAATGCCTACATCCAGGGGAGGGAGACACACAGGGAAAAACTCACTTCTTTCTGTTCTTAGTACTTGTGTGCAATAGCAGACGTCTAAGGCATGACCTAGCCCTTATAACCATGATTGGAATCACCATACACAGTAACAGTTAGTCATCACAATACACAGTAATTTTCCATATTTACAACATTGGGTGTTTTAATGGAGAAATCAAATACTGCCGATCATAATTCATACCACAGCTTTTTTAGATTGTCATAAAGCAGGAGAAGGCAGCATTCCACATAAAGAAAAATGCCTTTTAAAGAACATGTGATGATAATAAGTGTGTGATGAGGGGACCAGGAAAGAGATGTTGCCTAGTTTAACCAAGCCAGTGTGAGTCTTAGCATTCAGGAGAAAAGATTTGATTAGCAATTGAAATATTAAAAACTAAACTCTCGTGAAGTAACCTTGCTATCTTGTGACCAGTTGGAAGTTTAGTTTTTTAGCTTAGCTATAAATGAGAAAGTAAAACCTCACTTCTTCATTGTAGGAAAAAGTTGAAATTCAGTAAATTTAAGTTGACCACTATGGCAGGACTTGGAATAAGCAAAATGCTTGGGCTGTTTTCCACCCCCAGTATAATGTGAAACATTGGTGTATTATACTTCATGCTAAAATACATGTCACATACATACAGATTACTGATATAATCAGGTATTTAGGTATCACAGTTTTGGAAAGAAGTAGAAGAAATGTTAAATTGAGAAAACTTTTACGATATTTAATTTTTCCTTTAAAGTCAGGGAATATTTTTTTACTCAGTTTTGGTTTTTGATTTTTAATTTTTTGGTTTTTTGTGGTGATACTGTGGATTGTACTTTAGTATCTATACTCAGATGCCTCCTTTTACCTTTAGAATTAAAAATTGACCTTTTTCATTACTAATAGCAGTAACTTTTATTTAATGGTATTTACTTCAGGGAGGGGACACAGTATCTCATGCATGCGTTCCTGCTGTTGTTTATGATTATTTACAACACAAAGTAAATAAAGTATGTGTTTGAATTTCAGATACTAATGGATCAGATAACTCGATCCCAATGGCCTATCTTACACTGGATCACCAACTACAGGTAAAAGTGTACTTTCCCAGTGAATATTCGCTTTTTTTCTTCTTAGGGAACTGATTTGATTTGTGTTGTGGCCTGGTCTTGAGAGAGACAGAGTTTCACCATGTAGTTCAGGCTGGTTTTGAACTTACTATGTAGTCTGTCCTGGTCTCAAACTTAAGGCAATCCTCCTGCCTTAGCTGTCTAAGTGCTAAGTGTGTGATATGCTACCATATCTCACAGGAGTTTATTTCTGACATTAGCAGTTGTGTTCCTGTCATTGTATGTTTGTTTACTTATGCTAAGAATCAGCTTCCTAAACTTTAAAATTAAAGAAAATGACTTTTATTTAGTTAATCTTAGTTAAGAGTGATACAATTATACATTCTTATCCTAGTGGTCATCTTAAAATAATTCTATATCTTTGTTCAAAGCCGCCAAGCATAGTGTTCTCACTTTTTAATTTTAGTGCATTAAAATATATAGAACCCATATAAGCTGCTCCCTGTTTAATACATTTGGTGATGTGTTCTCTTACATTCATAGTGATTAAAAATGTAAGTACTACACTGCAGTGCCTCTTCCTGTGTATGAGCTATAAACATCTCTTGAGGGCCACACACAGTGGCACTCACCTGTAACCCCAGCTATTCAAGAGGGAGAGGGAGGAGGATCACAAGCTCGCGGGCAGCCTGGGCCTTAGCCAGAACTTGTTAGCAGCCTGAAATGTCTTTTCAGGAGCTGTGAGTACTCCAGTCCTTGTTTTCTTGAACATGAAAATGTTAAAACCACAAGTATCAACTTAAGTTCTGAGCTAACTTTGACAAAAGGACACTGAGATTTTTCTAGGGATTTTTCTAGAGATTTTTCTATTTTTCTTGATTTAACGCTTATTTTTAAAGATCATTGCTTTAGAGCAATAAAAATATACCACAATTTCTGCCTTAACTCTCATCTTAGTTAGATATTGAGATTTAATTGTGTTAATTGTATTTTAACATTCCTGATTTATTTTCAGCCTCTAGCACCATGTCCAAACTCCAAAGAGTCTATGGCAGTATTTGAACAGCATTGTAAAATGGCACAAGAATATATGAAAGTTCAAACAGAAATTGCATTGTTATTACAGAGAAAGTAAGTCTTTAAAAAAATAGTATTTTGATTTCAAAATATATTAAGACAACAACATTATTTGAAGACATGAAAACTTAATTTTAGAATTAGTCATTAAATATATTTCCAGATAAAGATTTTATGGTAAGTTAAGCACCCTTTGACTATTTTCAAACAATGTTCAACTTTTTGACTATGTCATATCATATTAGTATTAAGGAAACTAAGCTAGTACTATATACCCAAATGACATATTGTTTCCATGGTTTACTAACATTCTGTTACTTTTATCTTAGAAATATTTTTGTAGATATATTCTTTCGTCTTGTGTGCTTATGCTTAAGAGTGCTATTACTTGTTGTAGGTCTCCAAGTTGTATCTGTGACAGCTTTTCTAGAGAACTTTGTAATACTGTGTTTTTCTGAGAGTTACAGAAACTGCCTTCCTCCCTAGTTTTAAGAAATCTAGTCCACACTAGTATATACACACTTCCTTAAAGAAAGGAAGAAGAAAAATTTCAGTTTCCCTAACCTTGATTCTCATGACATTTTGTACTTATGAAGCCAATTTATGAATGGTAACCAATGTCAAGTTTTGTAAGAAAAATAATCATGGCAACTATACATATGTAAGGTAGTACAATTCTCTCTATTAATCTTAATCTAAATTAACGAAGTGTTTTTCAGAATAATTTGTGAAAAGTTTTGTTTGTACTTCAAAATAAAAGAAATAATTTTATCACAGAATTTCTTGATACAGTAATGTAGATGAAATCAATTTGGTTTCTTACATAAGCCAAATAGGAAATAAAATATAGTCCTAAAATTACAGAAATAACTACGAACATTTTTTACAACAGAGAGGAAAAAAGCTCTATGTTTCTGATTTCACATTTTTAACTTATCTTTTTGTTATACTTAATCATTTAAGAGAAGAGTTCTGTGGTAGAAAAAATAAATGGTAGAATGTGAAGTAGTGTTAAAGCTGTGACAGTTTTAATCACTTTAATGAAAAATATTAAACAATTATTTAAGAACTTATTATTTATTTATTTATGCCCAGCAACTTCACAGTAAGCTAATATTTATTTAGCTCCCAAATAAAAGAGAAATTCCTTGAACCAAACTCTAAAAGACACTGATGATCTTTCTTGAAAATGTTTGCAAAACTGAGTGATTTAAATGCAGAAATTAGTGTCATTCTTACTGTTTTACAATAGGAAAGGGCTTTAAATTGGACACTGTATCTTAATTAGTTTGCAAATGTTCTGTTAGCTACCATTCAGCACTGTAGTTTAATAGAATTGTGACTTCAGAATACTAGTGAATATAGGTATAAAAGTAGAATGTGAATTATAAAAACTTAAAGCAGTGCTTTCCTGTAACCAAATAAGAACCTTTTTATTCTTCATCTTCCCACAAAAGTTAGCAAATAAAAGTTTCTAAAACTTTACCTGCTCCACAAGTTGCCTGAGTCCAGCTACTTACTGAAAAGATGATGGTGTTTGTATGGGAGTACAAGAAGAGTGGGTGGTGATTTCCATTCTGGCTCAAAACTCAGTTTGAATAGTGTACTTGGGTTACAAAATGATAGACTCAGAATAAAAGTTCTTATTAAGTGAGCTTTCATCATAAGCTAATACAGTATGAATTTTTCATCATGTGTAATATTTGTTATGTGGCATTTATCTTTAGGCAAGAACTAGTTGCAGAATTGGACCAGGATGAAAAGGACCAGCAAAATACATCTCGACTGGTACAGGAACATAAAAAGCTTTTAGATGAAAACAAAAGCCTTTCTACTTACTACCAGCAATGCAAAAAACAACTAGATGTCATCAGAAGTCAACAGCAAAAGCGGCAAGGAACTTCATGATTCTCTGGGACCGTTACATTTTAGAAAACGTGAAGACTTTTTTTTTTTTTTTTAAGAAAAGAAAAACCTTTATGACAGCTCCTGAGTGTTAGCTTTTTGGCGTGTTCTGAATGCCAGCTGCCTGTTTTTGCTGCATTTGTTCCGTCATTTATTTTCTTCTCATGGTGAACCTGTCTTGTTGCATATGATGGGATCTGTGACTTAGATGAGCAGCACTTCTCAACTCCAGACAGATACGGTGGACTGTGGCTGTAAATGCATGCTGTTGTGTGAAGGCTAGCCTAACAGAACGCAGGGTATCACACTAGCTGCTGTGTGCAAACATCATCTGTTTTCCCATGTTAGAAGGGGAACCTCAAGAACGATTTTGTTCTTGTATCTCATCTCAAAAAAAACTAATTTTTTTTTCCCCAAAAAATCATATACACCAAGTTAAAGACAGGGTATTATAAATCTAGACTAGTTGGTGGTGTGTTACAGACACAGAATCTTTAAGTTTGGTTCAACCTTGGATCAGTACTGAACTTAGTTCCATCTGTAACAATATTTAAAGGTAAGTGGTAGCTGCTGTATTTGATGAGCAATTTTACCACTTTTCATTAGACTGAAAATTGTTTGTTGAGCAAATGGAGTTCTCTTTGTGTCACTCTCTCTCCTCTCTCTCTCTCTTTTTAATTTTGGTGGTACTGGGAGATTGAGCCCAGGGCCTTTGCAATGAGCTACATCTCCAGCTTTGTTTTTGTTGTTGTTGTTTTAGTTTTCTTCTTTTTTGTTGTTATTTTGTTGTTGTTGTTGTTGTTGATGATGATATTTTGGTGATAATGTCTGGCTAAGTTTCCTAGGCTCGGCCAAATGGCAATTCTCCTTTCTTCAGCCTCCCTGACTGCTTTGATTATAGGCGTGTCCTACCACACACAGTTTGGAGCTTTTGTTTTCTTTGTAAGGCATAAATATTTTTAATTTTGTATGTGTATTAAAACTTTAAAGCTTTTATGACTCTAATATTAGTATCTCTTAAATTAAAAGGCAGAAAAGCATGACCTAGCTTAAATGATCATTCCTTCCTGTAATGATTGTTGGATTGTTTGACTATATATTTAAAAATACTAAAGAGAAATAAGGCAAAATGGAAGTATTCCAGCTAAAAGGCTTGCTATCAAATGAAGAACAAGCCAGGAGAAATTAGTAGAGAAGCTAAAGGAATAAAAATAAATATCCTATTTGCCCTTGATATTGGAATAATTGATTCCCTTGCAAGCCCATTCTGAAATGCCTGCTGCCTTTCAACACTTTTAAGAGAATCTCAATCCTTATAAAGAGAATATTTATATTGTTAATGATAACTTTGCTATCAAACTGCAAAATAACTTAATGTCATGAAAATAATAAACTACACAATCTATTTTTTCACTTGGTATTAAAATAAGTCACATTTTGATACCAGTAAAGGGGTGTATTTTAAATAAGGATGTCATTGGTCTCATTTTTATAGCATTAATGTTTTATGAAGAGAAAATAAAAAATGAAAATACAGTTGCTCTGATTAGAATACTATCATGATTGTATTGCAGTTTTTGCTCTGTTTCAGATAAGGAAGTTGGTCTAAGAAGTTACCAAACTATGCTTAAAAATGCTAAAAGCAGGTAACTTTTTCTTGCATTTTTTTTCCTCCCGCTGAGTTTTATAATGAATTCCCTTGTGTACACAAGCAATAAAGATAAAGGACAGTTTGTATTAAACTGTGTCATTTTTAGCTTCTTCAGAGTTGTAATTAGAAAGCTTATGGAAACTAAATGTCTTTTATCACTTAATTTAAACCAAAGGGAGGGTTTTCATTTCCAAAAACATTACCACGTAGCTCAAATTATTATTGGGCGCACAGAGCATGAGATATTCAAGCATGAATGGTATGGCTTGATTCTTCCATTAGGATTTAGCGCTAGAGATTTCAAAAAATTTTATTTCTGGACATTTGTGTGCTTTGCTATATCATAGCACACATAAAGTAAAATACTTTGTTACTGTCATTATTATTATATGCAGATACTTCTTACAAATAGTCAAATAGTTAAATGGAAGAAAATCATAGATTGAGTTGTGGTACCAGATGCAGAAGACGGTTGCACAGTTCCTTGTGTGTCTGTAGTAAATTTCTTGAGATTTCAGTTGTGTCCTGGATACTGACCACAGTTCAGTCTTACTCTCTTTTTAGTAGTTGCATTGCCAATCTCACACTTTTTTTTTTTTTTTTAAGTTCTGATTATCCTGTAAAAATGCCAAGGAAGGATACTGTGGATAATTAAAAGCCATATCAGGCAGATTTCATTAGTGTCTTTACTCATCAAAGCTGCAAACAGATGTTAACAAAGATCCAAACCTTCTAATAATTCTGGTTTTACAGTTTATTCTAACCCATTTCTGTAAGGTAGAAATAACAAACAGACAAGTCACTAAAATGTCCTAGTCTGAGAAATTCATAAGCACTCCCTGAACAAACACTAATTATGTTTTATTCTTGCCTCCAGGGAAAGAAAACAAGCTTTTCTGTCATCTAAAGGGAAATATTCTTTAGCAGTAAAAATTGCTTTTTGGAGTTGAATCAGTTAATATATACCTTAATGCAACACAGCAAAATGGAAAGTTTTTTTTAAGTCAGTTACAAATGTTAGGCTTTTTTCGTAAAGTATCCTAGAGTATTGAATGTCTTTTTTTTTCTTCCGGTTAGTTTTATGTTCCTATTTTAATCTGTCTATCACAGATCTTCCCTGTGAACCTGGTTTCTTTCTGTGTTTGTGATTCTTAGAACTCAACTCCTTAAGTTCTATTAATAGTCATGCAGAACATTTTTTGTAAAATGATACCATGCATAAATTCTTGTGTACTGTGTAAAGGAAGCTTTTTAGATTTTTTAAAAGTAAAATTCAGATTGTCCTAAATAGGTACATAAAAGTTGTAAATTGCATATATTGGCAAGTGAGCCATGATATGTGTGTGCTATACCAGTGTGTTTAACACAGAAAGTAATAAAAACTGAAATATCAGTAATCTTATAATATTCAGTACCATTGTACTATAATCATGGTTTTTGAGCCAATTAACAGCATATCTTTTTCTATTTCAAAATTTCAGATTAAATGATGCTCTTCGTTCATCAGTTTTAATGTAGGTAAAGCATAAAACATACAAATAATTCTTCTCATAGGAAATGTGGTTTGTTACTGTTTTTCCGAGTTACATTTCTTTACCAGCTACTTCCCAACCTATAGATATGCACAGATTTTTATAAACCCAATCTTCACTTCTGTAAATTTATACATTAATTTGCTCATTTTTAAAGTATTTATTGATCACCTATTATAAGCTGAGCTACTGCTGCTAATGCCAAGTTGCATGTCCATATCGCAGCAGTCAGAGTTCACAATATTGAGACTTGTGCCTGGGTCTGCTTTTCCATCATCGCCATCTCTTTTAGGCAGAGCTTCATAGATGGGGCCTCTCAGCCCATGATGTGAAGAAGAGCGCTGGACACGTTTTAAATCAATGACAGACAAAAGAAGAGGAACCTGAAGTAATTGCTAGCCCCAGCAAAAGAAGCTTTGTGAGCACCCTACTGGATAACCTCACGCCAGCGCTGAGACTTTTCAACACAAGCCTATCGCTAGACTTTGTCATACCATAATTTAAAATTCTCATCAGTTTCTGAGGTGCTTCCATTTTCACACTCACTTATTTGGCCAATGGGGTGTCTTCATTTCTTTTATTTCTTGAAAACCATGTACCAAAACAATGGAAATACAAAAACAGTATTGTGGGATTTGGTCTGGAAAATAAAAATTGTCCAGTCTACAGGAAGGTAAAGTATAATCTAGGTTTTTTTCATTTGGAGGTATTTTTTGTTTTTGCCTACTTTAGTGCAGTCTTTTATTTTTTTTAAATCATTGCTAATGTCAAACTTGAGTTTTGACACACGTGAGTACTTGTAGAATTCCCCCATGATCAAGAACTGAACATGTAAGCTCCTGTTTGACCCTAGGGAGTCAAGCCATCCCTGTACCCCAGCCTGTGCAGTATTGATCTTCCAAAAAATGTAGAATTTACATTTTCCTGCAGTTTTACATAAATGAAGTCACAACATGTAATTTTAGGTGTTTCAGTTTTTTTCTCACTTTAGTTTTGGGGATATTTTGTTTGTTGGTTTAGTTTGGTTTGGTTTTTGTTTCAGATTTACTTAGATTTTATTTGATGTCCTTTTTGTTTCAGAATACTATATTGAATTTAGTTACCGTGTCTGCTTAGCTCTTTTTTTTTTTTTAAGGGGAGCAAAACATAATAAAGAAACAAAACGAAACAGTAATAGGACAGTAGAAAACCCATAGTCATTACTATATTATGTACTGTTACCCTCTAAAAATTGCCCAGCCCACTGGCCTCGGGCCTGCAAAGTCGATGAAAGGACATAAATGTCAGGTTGCTTCCCTGCTTCAGTTACTGGCATCTCCGGCTGTCCTATGGCTTGCTCACTGCGGGGTGGGGGGGTGTCCTTGGGGCTTTTCCCTGGCCACCAGGCCTCCACTGGCACACGTGGGAGGGCTGCGTTGGTCTCTTGCTGATCCTCCCTTGCAGGGGCCACAGGGCTTGTGCCAGGACGTGGAGGCTGGGGCCGCATTGCTTGCTTACTATTTCCCACTGGCGCCTGGCGGATGGTGCCATCTGTCTCCCTTACAGCCTCACCCGGGCACCTGGCGGAGCTTAGGCCAGTGCACAGAGGTTGGGGCTGCACTTCCTCCTCGATGCCAGCAGGTGCATGGGGCTGGGGCCACATTGCTTTCTTAACTGTTTCCCACTGGTGTCAGGGGATGGGTGCCATATAGCTTCCTTCCTGCTTCTCCCTGGCAACTGGCAGCCGGCAGATTCCCTGGAGGCATGGGCTTGGGGGTCCCGCTGCCCACACCCCACTCCACCCCCGCCGTCCATCTGTCTGGCAAGTCCGCCATCTATTTTTGCTGGATTCCTGAATTGTTTCTCTTCATGGGCTCCAAGCCTCAGTTCAGACCCTTCCTGTGTCCATAGGACCCACTTCTTTCCTTCTCTTCCTCATGTTGCTGTATTCCAGGGTCTGGCCACCAGAAGTTGGAAAAGTTTTTTCTTTGCTGCCCACCACTCCGCCTTTCCCTGTAAGTTCTCTTTGGTTATTTAGACAGGGTCTTGCAGTGTAGTTCAGGCTGGCCTTGAACTTGCTGTGTAGTGTTGGCTGGCCTTGTATCGGGTTCTGACCTAGATCCCCAATCTCAAGCATGTGTACCGCAGAGGTATAAAGTAAATGAGACAAATTGTATGATTTTAGGGCTCCAGGAGGGTCAAAACCCTTTAGCTGAGCTTGAGACTCCAAGGACTAAGATAAAGACTTCTCTGGACCACCCACTTTTATTAGGTCTGACAACAAAGGGTGGGGAAACTGAGGAAAGCGCGGGAAATGAGCAGGACCTTGAGAGTCATTTCAAAGACTTCTCCAAGTAGTAAATGTGGCCAATTTAGGAGGACTGTTTTATCTCTAGGATGACATTTATGGTAGTGCGACTGTAGGAGTGAAATTTCCTCAGCTGCAGTCTCTATTTACTTAATTAGTGTTGGAGCCAAGGTGTCTTCAGCCGTGGCCTTCTCTTGCCCTTTGAAGTATCTCTGGCCTCACGGGCCACTGCAGGCCTCAGCCAGGACCAGTGACTCACAGAGGTTCACTTACTATGAACCAGCTCCTGTCGTCAGGCAGGGGGCCGAGGCCTAGGCCAGACTCACAGAGAAACACAGAAAGCCAATTAGTTAATTTTAAATCCTGCTCAGAGCCGCCTCATAGGGCTCTCCAACAGCCTTGAACTTGCAGCAACTCTCTTGGGCCTCAGCCTCCCAATGCTGAGATTGCAGCAGTGTGCCATATGCCTAGCTGAACAGTTTATGTTCCTCTGATAGGACTATTTAAACTGTTTCCAGTAATACTTGACAATCTGGTGTCAATCTTAAAGGGAAAACCTAGATTTTAGAAGACTATTGACATACTATGTGGCCTGTTTCACTGTATAATGTTATGTTCAAAAACATTTAAGACCTTTTCATTTCTATGCTTTTGTAGTCTTAATACTTTGCTCACAAAATTCCTTTTATGTCTTATAGTGGCAGGCATTAGAAATGCGAATGGACATGCAAGTAGCATATCTGTAGTCCCCTGGTAGATTTTAGCACTTAGTCTTAACTGGCTTAACTTTTTTCAAAAAGTTTCCTGTTTTGTTGTTAGATTACTGCTGGTTGCAGTTGACTTAACATCCTGGGAACGGTGAACAGGATTTCAGTGGTACTGAAGACAGTTTTCTTTAAAATGTTTGACATAATGTCTTTCACAGGTCCATCAGTGATCTTTCTGGTGCGGTGGTACACGGTGCGGCAGGTCCCGCAGTGCTCACCACCTGGCCTGCGGTTTCTTTCCATGACTGACAGCCGCTGCACCCGGCTTCTGTCACCCTCTGCCACGTAGGCCCTCCAAGCAGAGCTCATAGATACCTTTGTGGTTATTACAGGAATGACTCACTGATTGATTCTTTTACTAAATTCAAATTAAACCAAAGAAGCCAGAAAGTATACATAGCACCTTCTTTGGTGATTGAAGAATATGTGGTGATAGTCTGCCATTACATGCTCTAAAGCACTTCTAATCAGTTGCCTTCTAAAACTGTTCATCTAAAATAAGGTATATTGCAAAAAGTTGGTGTCATTCTTGTTCCTTTTACATTATCTTGAAAATTTTTAACAGTTATTTGAGGACTGAAAAAACATCTATTATCTAAGTTACAGGTGAAGTGGACAAATTTATGTGCTTCCAAAACAGATCTACTTTTGAATTGCATTCTAGTGCATTCTTAGTAAAACTCAGTTTATCTACATAGAATTATGTAGATAATTCTACATAATTCCTATTCATGGTCCTGAGGTTTTTTTTTTTGAAGAAGTGGTACACATTTCCTTGGTCTAAGCTAAACGTTTCTTCTTTTACTGTATGTTTTCACCCATATCAGAAAATCCCTTAATCTCATTTCCGACCATGTATACTTTAAGACACAGGTTTGGCTGCTGCCCAAAGTAATGGCTTAAGACAGCAAATGATCAGTGTGGTGGTGCATGTGTAATTTCAACTGCCTTTTTGTTTTTCATGTAAAATTCTAAAGTAATATAATATCACAGTCAAAGGAGAGAGATAAGGCACGGAAAGGGTACATCACTTACACTCAGATCCTTTGACCAGAACTTCTCTCATATGGCAACCAATAGCAATAAACAGGACTGAACTTATTTATGATGGGCGGCTCCATGCTGACCAGAGCTTGGAGTTCAGCTGTGAGTGAAGAACCAGAAGGATATAGAGGACAGTGAATAGCCTCCAGTATCCTGGGGAAAAGTCAGCCCCAACCTGTACCACCTCCTTGATCCCACTCTGCTAAAGGGGTCAGCTAGCTTCTCACAGACTGCCCAAGGAACTTGCATATTCATCACATAAAAATCTCACCAATGTGTTGTATACTTCCTTGAAAATATTCTGGCATTTATGTTGATGCAGATTGAAAATGTGAAAAAATTTCAAAATGTTTGGTAACCAAATTAAAACTAATTAAAACAGTGCCACTTAGAAAAGAAACTTTTTCATTGGCTTAGAACTTGGGATATATTTTATTTACTTAATAAAGTGAAAATTGGACTCCTAACTCCTTTTGTAAGAATCTTTCTGGTCCTTAATAGAATTGAAATAGTGCCCTTTAAAGGAACGATGCCTACAGAGACTACAAAGAAAAAAAAAGTAGTTGGTATATTCTGATGTTGATACGTTATTTTTCCCTTTTAAACATGATTTTCCTTTTAATTGCCTGCTGTGCAGTGACAGTAAAAGCTAGGAGAGGAAAATACCTTAAATACCCTGGCCATGTTCCACTGGGAAGAGGTATTTCACAGGGCCACTAAGTGGGCCATGGACACGGTCCTTTGAACACTGGCATTGCAATAATTAACTGATTGTGTCAACTTGAGTAAGGAGCACTCCACCAAACAGGATCAGCATAGTTCTAGGTGTGGCTGAAGGGATTTATCCAAAGCAGATGATGACATTTAACCGATAGACTTGTCACCTGCATGGAATAAAAGGGAAACGAAGGAGGCCTGCTGTCTCTTGGGAGGAGCTCCCATCTTCAGCTTCGCCTTGGAAGCTGTCTCCTGGTGCGCTCTTCAGCCTCAGGCACAGATCCTGGGCCTTGAGACACGGACTCTCGGGGACACCGTAGTGAGTTCCAGGCCTGTGGCCACATCCTTGGATCTCAAGCACTCAGGCAGGCCTCTTGCGCTCTTCCACCCCTGACTGCAGACTGCCATTGAAAGCCAGTCCGCTTAGTCCTGTATGTATTCATTTATCTACATTCAGTCTGTTTAGTAAGTACCAGCGGATATAGTCATGCATTCTACAAGGATGAGAACTTCTCTTCCCTCTCCTGTCCCTACAGGGGACAAGCGGGACTTCAGAGCCACACCATCTCCATCATACCTACGAGGATACTCACTTCCCACTCGTCTTGCTGGACCTTGCTTGGATGGTTTTCAAACTAAAGAAGAAAGTACACGGTTTGGAGAAATTCTGCTTCAGACTGAGAGGGTGTTACCAGGCACATGTAACTTTTTTTCAGTTCCCCAAGTGGTCTGTTCCACAAATACAGAACTACTTACACCTCAGAGCAGGGAAAAAAAAGAGCCCTGTGTTTTCTAGATCCTAATCCACCTAGTAATTGAAAACTAAGTGGATTCCATGTTCCTGAGATTCACAAAAG